AATTAGGTTCATCTGCTTCCATTTCTGTGTCAAATGTTGGGGAGAAAAGAATGTTGAATATTGTGGGTAATTTGTACTGAGTTTATAAGAAGCAAACTGTGTGTGTGTGTGTGTGTTTTGTCCTTCTGCCATGTGGGTCCCAGGAACTGAACTCAAGTTATCAGGCTTAGTGGCAGATGTCTTTATCCATTGAGCTATATTGTAGGCCCTTAAAAAGAGTTTTGTGTGAATGTGGGGGTGGGCCTGCATGTGTAATGGAGATCAGAGAACATGTGGAGATCAGAGAACAACTTTTTGAGAGTTGGTTCTTGCCTTCCACGTCGAGGCAGGGTCTTTCTTGTTTCTGTCACTGTGTTGTGCACTCCAGTCTAGCTGTCTCTCTAGCTTTGAGGTGAATTTCCTATCCCTACCTTCCATCTTGCTACAGAAGTGCTGGGATTACAGATATGTGCTCCCACATCTGGCTCTGAAAATGTGGATTGCACGCCAAATCCTCTTACCCACTGAGCCATCTCCCCGGCCCTACAATCACATGTTAAAGTAGAAATGTGGCAGGTTCTGTGGTAGAACATCTGCCTTGCATGCATGGGGCCCTGGGTTCAATTCTTAACACTGGAAAACAAAAACAAAAGTATGAAGGCAGCACCTTTTCTTCCAGTGAGACAAGAAGGCAGCTGAGTCAGAGGTTTGGATACAGAAGGTTACTGGCTACAGATCAATGGTCCTTAGAATTTTCTGAGGCCAATGATCACTATGTAAGGCATGGATCTGCTCAGGGGCGGGGGAGACAAGAAAAAGCCTGCCTACAATTTCTAGATCTTTAAGAGCCTCTGTCTGTCGACTCTAAGTGACTAACCTGTGCAGGAAGTCAGAGCCTACACTGGTACCCAGATCTCAACTTCTAATTCAGGAGTACTCTTTTCACTACTTTATGATGGAATCACAGGAACTCCTGGCAGAAGACACCGATGATAATTTTAGCTCTACACCGTCATCTGAGTCTGAGTAAAGAAGTTATAACAATAGCTGTCTCATAGGGCTGACACATGATTTGACAAAGATGATGAATGTTGATGCATCTAGCTTACTGCCTGGCAACAAGTAGATGCTCAATAGGTATTTGTTTCCTTCCTAACGTTGCAGAGAAGATTATGAGATAATGCCTGTGTAAGGGGTTGTAAACGTAAAGTTCTGTACCAATGTTAACTTCCATTGTCACCCGCCAGCCAAGGCTTCTAAAAACCAGAACATAACAACTCCAGAGAAGTAAACGGAGCCCATTGTTCTAAGAGACACAGGAATTCAATTCAGTAAACAATTATGTCCCCCACACCCCCCTAAAAGAGACAAGGACAATTGCTTCCATTTACTGAGCCACCAATTGGAAGCCCTGTGTTTGGCACTGGGAATACAAAGATGAATAGACACCATCCCAGAACTACAGGCACGTCAGATGGTGGTCACTAGGAGGCGTGGCAGATTAAAAAAAATAAGTTCATGAAACGTGGCAAGAGGTGTGTACCGACTGTGGGCGCTCTCAGAAGACAGATGACAAGAGCCTCTAATAGTTCCAAGTGCTTCACCAAGAAATGACATTCACCCAGGGCCTTGCAGGATGGGTACAAGTTCAGCAAGAGGAACTTTCCAGAGAGAGATAACTGATCATAGTATTGTATTCAAAGTTAACCCCATGCCACTCATCCTTAAAAATCGCCGGTATTTTAAGCCCAGTGTGAAGTCATCCCAGCCTGAGAGTCCATGGCAAGGGGCTTGCTTTCTCCGACCCCCAACTCAAACATGGGTTCCAGCAGCGCCCCGTCCTCGGGACACCCGCGTCCGAGGCCTCCGCGGAAGAACGCGGTGTGGACCGGGCACCCAGCCCTCTCCCGAACTCCCTTCAACCCTCTTACCATTTTGCCTCGCACAAGATAAGCCACCGGTCCGCCACCGGAAGAACACGTCGGCGGGGGCTGACACCTTGCGCAGCCGGAAAAGGAAGTGGTCTCGCGCATGGCATTGTGGGACTTGTAGTCCCGACTTTCCAGGAGTAGCGGGAGCTGGGCCTGTGGGACCGCGGTGTAGGTGGCGTGGGGTCAGACTGTGGGGAAGAGTAGGGCGAAGTCTCTGAGAGAATTCGTTTTTTCCCCGGAAGGCCTGTTTACAGTGAGAAGAGCGGCTGGCTGTAAGGGCGAGGCCTGCACTACATTCCCAGGAGGCTGTGCGCGGTGGCGGGTCACGTGAGCGGAGCGCGGGCTTTGGAAGGCAGCGAAGCGGGAGACTGTCCGCGGTGGAGCGGTAGGGGTCGAACCGCGGAGGCGCGGGGACTCGGGACTGTCTCAGGAGCACCGACCAGCACCAGCTGCCGAGACCTCGTGCCGCTGAGGCCAGGTGAGGCCGGAGAAGCCCTGGGGAGAGGCGGGGTCGCGGGCCCGCGAGGACTGTGTTCAGGCCGCAGGTCTCGGCGTTTTCGGCTCCTCTGAGCCTCCCTTCAGGGGTAGGAAGAAGAATGAGGCGGTAGTGTGTGTTTTACCAGAGGCCTGTGCTAGGAGCACCAGAACCTTGTTCAGCCCTTTTCCTGCCCGCGTCTGTGGGATGCTTCGAAAGGAAGAAGGGTATTGTTGGGTTTGGGGGAGACTGGGGTTCTTAGCTAGCACTGCGGGGGTCCGAAGCATAGCCTCAGCCCGCCCAGGCTGGCAGTCTATTCTTTCTTCTTTTTTTTTTTTAAAATGCTTTATTTATTATTATTATTTTATATGTATGAGTATATTGCCTGCATGTATGTGAGTGCACCCGTGTCGTGCAGTGTCGCGGAAGTCAGAAGGGGGCTTTGGAGTCCCTGGAACTGGAGTTAAGGACGGTTCGTAGCCGCCTTGAGGGTACTGGGAATCGAACCCGGGTCCTCTGCGAGAGCAGTCAGTGCTCTTAACCGCCGAGCCATCTCTCCAGCCCCTCTATTCTTTATTTTATACTTTGCGAATTTCTTACAGTATATTTTGAGCACATTTAGACCCTCTCCCCTATCTGTACCCCGCTTATAGCCCCCCCCATACCGAATTCATGTAGTCTGTCATATATGTTAATGACTGTTGGGGTCAAGTTTATGTCCCCAAATGTCCTACTGTGTGAGTGGGTGCGCTGGATCCTGGTTAACCTCTCTAGTGTCACATTTTCTTACATGAAACTAACTCTCCCTCTCCCAGTAATTATCAGGTACTACTAGTTCCTCAGCTAAGTTTAGGCTTCTGACCCACTTCCCCACTCTTGTGCTGGGATTTTGTCTGGCTTGAGCTTGCATGGGTCTCGTTGCATGCTGTCACCAGGGATGTAGAGCCCATTTTTCTAAGGTCCCTTGTGAGGAGTAGGGAGCAGGAAGTGGTGTGTCACTAGGAAATAATAGGTCCAAGGCTGACTGATATCACCAAACTCACTTGTGCTTCTGGCAGAACAAGGTGTTTGAAAAGTCAGGAGGACATGTCTGGATAAGAGGTGTCTGTAAGAGTCCTCAGAATAGTGGCAGTGACAATGCACTGCTCAGTCAGCCTCTGGGCCTGGAGCAGGGAAGCTGGGTGTGCTTTTACTTTGCCTACAACCTTTTACATTTAGGGCTTTGCTATCTGGAAGGTCCCATTGGGATTGGGGGTGGGGTGTAGAGACAGAAGACTACCATACAGGTTTCCAGCCTTTATGACATGAGGGTCTCTTTATACGTATGCCTAGCAAAACAGCCAGCATGAGGCATGAAGCAAAGGACTGACTGGTGGACATTTGCAGAACATTTAGTGTTGTGCAGGGAGTTTTCAATCGGTCAGTTCACCAGTTCTGCAAGTTCTTATTTTATAGCTGGGAAGACCACCAGATAGGTGGTTTAATAATATTTTACAGGGCTGGGGATGTGGCTCTGTAGCTAAACACTTGGCCTAGGGTGTGTGTGGCCTTGGGTCAGTCTCCATTACCAGGAACATACCAAACTGTTTTGAAACGTGGTAGCTAGATTTAAACTGAGCTTTTAATTTGTTCTCTGGTGCTGGGGATATAACCTGGGCCTCATCCATGCTAGGCAAGCTGCTTTACCACCAAGCTACAATCCCCAGCCCTAAGGCTAAGCTTTTACTGCTTCTGTTTACAGGAGAACCAAAATAGGACTGGGGAGAAGTGAGACAGGAACATTTAACACATTAAAATATGACTGATTCTGTGCAGATACTGTTGCTCAAAATTGCTTCTCTTAGCCAGGCATGGTGGCGCATGCCTTTAATCTCAGCTCTTGGGAGGCAGAGGCAGGCAGATCTCTGAGATCAAGGCCAGCCTGGTCTATATAGTGAGTTCCAGGCCAGCTGTGGCTACAGGAAGGTCCTGTCCCAAAAAGACCCCCTGAAAAGATTGTTTCTCTTTTCCAACTTAGTGTAAATCAAGTCCATTTAAAGAAAATGCTAGATGAATGAAAAATTGAATTTCATTTGGAAGTGGCAAAACTTGTGAGGGTAGTTTGGGAAACAGTGCCCTAGGAAAGATAGGAAAGGACTTGAACCCAGAAAGGCAGTATTGGGCTGTGTGAGTACAGGATGCCAGCCCCTAATTCAGGACTAGGTGGGGCAGGAGCCAAGGGATTCACATTTCAGACTTAGTGATGGAGAGAAGTACAAAGCGGGGGCGGAGGGGGGCCTTAACCACCCCCCACCCCTCATAGCCTGATCAGAGTAGAAACTCACCTGCTAAGGGAGAAGATGGCACCATGTATGATGGCTTCCCGGTCCCCGTTCAGAAGTGCTGTTCTTGGCAAGTCCTTCAGGGCTGCTGTATCAGCTAGACAGCTGTAGAGAAACAGAAGAAATTGGACATAACCATGTTGGTTTGGCTGGTATTTACCTGTTCTTGGCCCAGTTCTGCCAGTATGATCTCTGGACTCTTCAAGCTGAGCCAGCCCACAATGTAGGCAAAAGGTTAAAGTGCTTTGTATAATGGATTATGCCATTGCCTTCTTCATAAAACTTGTAAGTTGTTCAAGAACATCTCTAGTGCTCGTTCCTCGAAGTGCCCAGATCAGCTCCTGCCGGAACATTGAGTGAGTGAACTGTAAGCCCCTTGAACCTGAGGCACCTTGCCTGGTCTACCTTTTCATCTTCTGCTGTGCTGACTTGGAGTCCCATCTTTTTGTTTTTCTATCATGTTAATTTTGATGAGACATGAAATGGCGAATAACAACCGTTATATCCCCAGTTCCTTTTGTATCTTTAATACTTCTCTCCTTTTAGTTCTTTTTTAGCCATTCCTCCTGCTTTGCCATGGGAATTCAAGGCCTTGCAAAACTAATTGCCGACGTGGCCCCGAACGCCATCCGGGAGAATGACATCAAAAGCTACTTTGGCCGAAAGGTGGCCATCGATGCCTCCATGAGCATTTACCAGTTCCTGATCGCCGTGCGCCAAGGGGGGGATGTGCTGCAGAACGAGGAGGGGGAGACCACCAGCCACCTGATGGGCATGTTCTACCGCACCATCCGCATGATGGAGAATGGCATCAAGCCCGTGTACGTCTTCGATGGCAAACCACCACAGCTGAAGTCAGGTGAGCTGGCCAAACGCAGTGAGCGGCGGGCTGAGGCTGAGAAGCAGCTGCAGCAGGCTCAGTCGGCTGGGGCTGAGGAAGAGGTTGAAAAGTTCACAAAGCGGCTGGTGAAGGTCACCAAGCAACACAACGACGAGTGCAAACACCTGCTGAGCCTCATGGGCATCCCATACCTCGAGGCACCCAGTGAGGCAGAGGCCAGCTGCGCTGCCCTGGTGAAGGCTGGCAAAGTCTACGCTGCGGCCACCGAGGATATGGACTGCCTCACTTTTGGCAGCCCTGTGCTGATGCGACACCTGACTGCCAGTGAGGCCAAGAAGCTGCCCATCCAGGAATTCCACCTGAGCCGGGTCCTGCAGGAGCTGGGTCTGAACCAGGAGCAGTTTGTGGATCTCTGTATCCTGCTGGGTAGTGACTACTGTGAGAGTATCCGAGGCATTGGGCCCAAACGGGCTGTGGACCTCATCCGGAAGCACAAGAGCATTGAGGAGATCGTGCGGCAGCTGGACCCCAACAAGTACCCTGTGCCAGAAAACTGGCTCCACAAGGAGGCCCAGCAGCTCTTCTTGGAGCCCGAGGTGCTGGACCCAGAGTCGGTGGAGCTGAAGTGGAGCGAGCCAAATGAAGAAGAGTTGGTCAAGTTCATGTGTGGGGAAAAGCAGTTCTCTGAGGAGCGAATCCGCAGTGGGGTCAAGAGGCTGAGCAAGAGCCGCCAAGGCAGCACCCAGGGCCGCCTGGATGACTTCTTCAAGGTGACGGGCTCACTGTCTTCAGCTAAGCGCAAGGAGCCAGAACCCAAGGGGTCTGCTAAGAAGAAAGCAAAGACTGGGGGAGCAGGGAAGTTCAAGAGGGGAAAATAAACATGTTCCCCTTCTCTGTCCCTCTTGACCCCAGAATATCTGCTTTGCACCCTCAAGAGCTAGAGCCCCTTCCTCATGTGGGGAGGAGAGTCCACTGCTTTTCAGTACCGCCTTCTCTACAGAGCTTTTCCCTCCTTGATCAGATGGCAGGAAAGTCACAGCTTTTTTTTTTTAAGCTCAGGAAAGTATGCCAGGCTCAAACCGTTGCTCAGGCAGGTTAATGGACACTGGATCCGTTGTGACGTAAGATTGATAAGTTTTAAAGGAAGACAGGTGGAGAATGAGGCCAGCTGGTGGATGGGAGGTGACTGCAGAATGTGACTGTTCTAATTTTACCGTGCCCTGAAAGATAGCTCCCAGTCCAGGCTTAGCACATGATTGAGTTCCGAAGAGAAGAGGCAGGCAGAGCAGGCGTCTGGTGGGAGTAAGACTGGGATCATGTGCAGAAGCTGGAACTTGTGCAGTGAGTGACTACTTCAGAGTATGACGGCAAGTCTGGGTTTGGGAGTTTAAGATGTGAAGAGAAAAGAATCGATAAAATTATAAAAATGACCAGAATTTTGTGTTCTTTGAAGACATTTGAAAAGACCCTTTGTGCTTTTGGGGTCCAGCTAGATGCCGTCTGTTCCCTGTAAGGTTGGATAACAGGTTGGGATTGCCCTCTTTAACAGGTGGTTTGTTTGAGAGTGACCACAAGGTGGCACCATACCCTGCATAATGGCCAGAGCAGCTGTGGCTCTGAGGCCTAGTTTATTGTACTGTGAGGAGTTTGAATAGTGTGTGCTGCCTAGTCTACCCACCTGAAGGGATTCCTTTGAAACAATCTTGTAATTTAGATCAGCTATCCGAATGTCTAGGCATTTTGTTTCATCACTTGATGAACTGCCATTCTGAAACCTTGTTCTATTGTGATGGCAAGTTCAGGTTCTCAGAGATGTATGTTTGAAAGTTTCATAGTGCTAATAAAGCTTGGTGGGGAGTTGGCATACTTGAATTTCTGATTTTTTCTAACATTTTTGATACTGCCACTACACAATTTTAAGTTGTAAATATCTTGACTGGTTAAGTGGATAGAGGACTAATACTGTTGGTTTTTAAATCTTTTTTGTTTTTTTCATTTGGTCTTTTTGAGACAGGGTCTCCCTGTAGCCCCAGCTGTCCTGGAACTCACTATGTAGACCAGGCTGGCCTTGAACTCACAGAGATTCGCCTGCCTCTGCCTCCTGAGTGTTGGGATTAATCAAATCTTTTAAAAGTGTATGTTGTGGGCTGGAGAGGTGGCTCAGTGGTTAAGAACACTGACTGTTGTTGCAGAAGACCTGGGTTCAAATCCCAGCACACACATGGCAGCTAATAACTGTAACTCCAGTTCCAGGGGATCTGACAGCCTCTTCTGTCCTCTGTGGCCATTGCACGACACAGGTGCACTTCCCTACATGTAGGCAGTACATGCATACACATAAAAATAATTTATTTTTTAAAAGTGTATGTTGTATGTGTGTATGATGGGGTGGGGCAGGTGTGCATGTGTCATGGAACATGTGTGGCGATCAGAGGACAGCTTTCAGGAGTCTGTTTTGTCCACCATGGGTGTTGAGGAGGTTGAACTCAGGTCGGCAGGCTTTCACCTGCTCTGCCAACTCACTGGCCTTGATTTACAAATCTTTTTTTTAAAAAACATTTTATTTATGGCACCAGAGAGATGGCTCAGCAATTAAGTGCACAGGCTGCTCTTGCAAAAGACCTGGGTTTGATTCCCAGCACCCACCTGGTGGCTAACAACCATCCATGACTCCAGTTCCAGGGGATCTGATGCCCTCTTTCTGACCTCCGAAGGCACTGCACGACATGACACGTGTGGGTGTAGTTACATACATGCGGTGACTCTCTCTCTCTATATATATATACACACATACATACACACACGCACAAAAAAAAAAGATAAAATATTTTTTAAAATATACTTGTGTGTGAAGAGTTACGAGGCCTTGCTCTGTAATCTGAAGCAGCATTGGCAAAGATAGGCAAACGGGGGACTTCAGGGGACAGCTGTGCTAAGTTCAGATTAAGTCAAGGGGGAAGTGACTTAATGGAGGACTGAAAAGACAAAGGCTGAGGAGGGCTTTGGAGCACTGACATCCATGAGGCCTGCTGCAGTGCAGCATGTGAATAAGTGGGTGTTAAAGGAAGGACCTGGCTTTGCTCCCTGCCTGGAGAGTCCTGCCCTTTCCTCAGCACTCTGAGAGTGCTGGAGAGATTCATGTTCCACAGGGAGTCGAACACAGATGAACAGTGACTTGCAGTGGCGGCACCAGGGACTTTTGTGTGTGTGCACTTGTGTGGAAACCAGAGGTCAGCATAGGTCTCCCTTAGTCACTCTCCACCTTGTTTTTAGACACAGGGTTTTCACCAAATCTGAAGCTCATCAATTTGCTAAAGAGTGGCTAGCCAGCAAACTAGGGATTCGCCTTCCCCCATGCTGAGGTTACAGAACCACATACCTCCACACCTTTTATGTGGGTTTTGGGGATCCAAACACAGGTACTTGCTGCCGTCAGAGTAGATACTTTACCAACTGAGCTATCTCCCAGCCCTGCACCAGGGAATCTTGTATACATGAGCAGACAAGCAGCATGGATACTCGATGAACAGCATTCTTTTGATCCAAATTTATTTTTTAACTTCATGAAGATGTGGTAAGGACACACGCACACACAGAGATACTGACATTAGGCTCAATGAGAGGAAATGCCTTTGGCCAGGTAGTAGAAAGGTGAAACAACATGGAGGCTGGAATTTTAACAAGGTTAAATTCAAGTGTTCTGCCAGTATCTACACAAGCAGAAACTTCCTCTAATCCTATTATGTCAGTGGATTTGAGATTCCTGGCTTTACCACTGTGACACTCTGAGTCTTGTTACTCACTGTCCTTGTGGCTATGCCGAAGTCACACAAGGCTGAGGAAGGAAGGCCACGGCGGTTTAGGTGCTCTGGAGACCTGATCTTGGCACAGTGGAGCTCACTGGTGTTTGCTCAGACTGGCAGCCTGTGCTTAAAGTCAGTGAGCTTGGCAGGCTGGCAGTATCCCACTCTTACCTCAGGTGGCAGGGAATGGGCAGGGGGAGGGATCAGCACCTATTCTAGAGGGGAGGAGCCAAGAAAAGTAGATGAGAGCTCTTCTGCAACCTGTCCCACTGGGCTGTCCTGGAAAACAAGTAGCCCTGCCCATCTCTGACCATACCCCTATATACCTTATACTCTCATCTTGACCTGTCTCCCGCCCCAAACAACACGGGCTACAGTTTGCCTTCTAGCCCGAGGTGCTCCAATTCCAGTGTCCAGATGCTTAGAGTACATTCTGTTGAATAGGCAATGAAACAATGCCTTCACTGTGAAATGAAATGGTGCCTGGACTGTGAGGCTGTGGGTTTGGGAGCAGCAAGGCATGTTCCTATGCGTGTTCTCTGGAAGGATGAGTTGTTCTTCCATTTACAAACAAGATAAAAGTACTCCATTGTTAGATTGATAGGCTTTCTAAGAAAGCCTAAACTGCCTCCAGCAGGCTGAGATACTTGAACAAGCAGCAGTGTTCACAGACCTTCCTATTTCTGACTCGGACCTACACTAAATGGTGCTGGAACACCACTTCTTCAAGCCCTCACACTCTTTATCGCTGAAACTAGTCGTGTGCTGACTGCTATTTTGTTAAACAGAATTATAGGTTGGAAAGAAAAAAGGAAAGCATTGGGAGCCCCATTTGTTTCTGGGGAGGATGAATGACTGAGTCACCGTGTTTCCTTCCTTGTACATTCCATGAGGGGTGATTAAAAGAGGTGAATTAAATATTTTTAATGGCCAGCAACTTTGCCATCCATCTTATCAAGAACTAGGCGCTAACGTTCTCTTGGGACCTGGACAGAACAACACACCAGAATTAGTGGTGCCAGATGCCTCCAAAACCATAGTCCTGGCCTCTGCCCCTCCTGCTTCTGAAACTGGAAAATGGCTTCTCCCAGCAGCAGAGGCAGTCGCGGTCACACCCAGTCCTGGGCAGTGAGCTGAGCTCCCAGGCAGGGAGCTGTGCCAGGCCTTGGAATTTTATGCATGAATACTTCCTTTCTCATGTCTTGTTCAAAAGGTTCAAACTGTTCTGGCCCACTGAGGTTAACAAGGAGCGTGGAGAGTCACCGAGACATAGCCCAGTGAAATGTGCTCCTACTTTACAAGAGGAGAGTTCTAGTGTTGGCTCAATAGTGCTACCAGTTGCCTCTGCCAAAGAACACAACAGAACACACTCACATCCCTGCCCCAAGAGTTCCCTCCTCTGGAACTTGAGTGCCCTCCCCCCGGGCTTCATGCCTGCAGGGCAAAGAAGGCAGGTTTGACCGCCAACCTTCATGTCCCCTAACCCACCCCCCTCTGAACATCAGGTTCTTAGTGGTATTGTCCCTCAAACTCCCTCTGCTTTGGCTCCCATCATCCTCTTCCTCTTCCAGATGCAGAGAGAAACCGCTGCTGCTACTGGTGAAGATAGGCGTCCAACCAGAGCTGTCCCGACTCCTTTAGTGAACTATAGGGACAGCACAGGAGCAGACAGTGAGGGAGGTAGGGGCTAGCCACCAGAGAGTGGTCACGTCCTGGCAGACAGGGGGACTGTGTTCTGCGACAAGGTCCTCCCCCTTGGAGGCTTTCCCCATTAGAGGAAGCTGGCCGAAGCCAGGCCCTGGCCACTGGCAGAGCCACCCTGCCATTCCCTTCTTGTGGTTTCACTCCACTTGGCAGTACATGCCTGTTCTGCCCTCTTCCCACCCCGCAGCCAACTTCTGAGTCTCATACTCACTGGACAATGTCGGCAAAGGCTGAGAACAGGGGCTTGGACTGGTACTTTATGCCGTACTTGGTGCACAGGGACCGCACCAGGGGCGCCACTTTGTGGTAGTTGTGCCGGGGCATCGTGGGGAACAGGCTTCAGGAATAGCAGGATAGTCAGAGGCTTCTGCTCCTCCGTCCTCCCCCACCTCCTCTTCCTGCCCACCATTTCCCAGATCTCCCTACTCACTGATGCTCGATCTGGAAGTTGAGGTGCCCACTGAACCAGTCATTGAAGGTCGACTGGTGGACATTACATGTTGCCTGAAGCTGGAGAAAATAGCAAGACTCAGTGTCAGAGCACAAGGTCTGCTCCCCCTTCTCTAGGTGCACCCACATCCCTAGTCACTCCCTCACATCATGGGAGAAGACTAAGCTAGAGGCAGTGCTGTTGGGGGTGGTACTGTTGGCTATTACTGGCCACCACCCATGCCCTTCCTTAGCCGTGTCATGTCCAGGTCTTCCAAGTGACCATTCCTTACCTGGGTGGAGACCCAGTCCACATTCCGGTCATGGTCGATGTGCATGGGGATGTGGTTCATCTGTGTCACCCACACAAACCAGTTGCTCTCCAGAAACCTGTTGGATATGGCATTGCCACAACGGTATAGTCAGAGTGTGGAGTTCTTACTGCTCAGGCAGCAATGCCAGCCTGTGATCCTCCCAAACCAACTCCCCGAACAGTTCCTGGACCCCTAGACCCAGCAGCCCCCATGCCCCATCAGACACCACCTGACAATGAAGAAAAGGCCCAGGAAGCCTTTGAGCCCCAGCAGCGGCATATAAGTGAAAAAGACGCGGGCGTAGAAGGTGACCATCCAGGCCAAGTCCTGCAGTGGGAAGGGGAGGATGGAGCTGCCACAGATGCTCCTGTTCCTCTCCCACCCCAACCCCGCTTGCTAAAGTCATCCTTCCTGGGACTAGCCACCCAGCAGTTCTCAGTGGTCTGTCTTGCAACATCAAGCAGCTCTGACCCTTTTGTTTCTGGTGGTACCCCAGCCTCCTGCATGCCCCCTCACAGGAGTCCCCAGTCTCCCTGGCTCCAGCACCTTCCCACCATGTCTAAATGCTGCCAGATGAAATGTTCTAGAACCACGGCTTCATCCATGCCACTGCTCCAGGTCCTTTTCTGCATAGTGAACCAAGTCCCATACCTCCCCCCCCAGTGTGAGTTCTCTACACTGGGCCCAGTAGCCAAGCTCACCCCTCTGCTCCCAGGTTCTCTGCTCAGAGTCTGTCTTCTCCCTGGCTCACATCCTAGGAAAGCAGATCCAACCAGACCCTTCTGGGGATCCCCAGAGCCTCTTCTGCCTGAGCCTCTTCTCTTGGGTCAATCATATTCCACTTCATCCTACATCCTACATTCCCCGAGAGCAGGGACTGTCCCCTCTGTCTCCCCCATTAACCCCAACCAATCCCTGGGGTGCCTTTACATTGGGAACCCTGGGAGAGTGGCTGCAGGAAACCTGGCATGGGGAGGCAGGATGCCTGTCTGCCCAAGTCATTTCATCCCGTCTAGTGAGGGGAAGCAGCTCTCCTTGATTCTCTTTGCTCAATCTCCATTTCCCGGGATGCCTGTCTGCCCAAGTCATTTCATCCCATCTAGTGAGGGGGAGCAGCTCTCCTTGATTCTCTTTGCTCAATCTCCATTTCCCATGGACAGTGCCCTTCCCTCTTCTGAACACAGGATGTGGGACTCATGGGACTCTTGGGCGAGGGCTACTCACCACCCATTTCTTCCGCTGGACAACAAAATAGAAAATATACCACTGGAAGTAGAGAGGCAGCAAGGCTGGGGGTCCAACTGGGGAGGAAAAGGAGGCAGGGAGGAGGTGTGAGCAGCCCAAGGGGCAGAAAGGGCTGCTGCGGAGAGATAGCATCCAGCGTAGGGCTGCCTCCTGCCCACCCGCTCCTGTTGCTCCTCGAGCTGCCTCAGTCAACTATAAGTCACAGGCCCTAAGAGTAGGCAAGCCTAGAAAAGGCTAACTCTGCAAGAGGATGTCAAGGAGGCCAAGGGCTGGTGCAACATCCCTTTCTGGTGGAGGAGGGCCTGCGGGACTTTAAGCCTCAAGCACGGAATGCAGTCTACACCCAGGCCTTTAAAAGGACACATAAGTACTCCCTGCACTGCCTGGGCCACAGCCCTGTCCCTGCATGTTCCTGCTGTTCCACTATGAAAGTCAAAGGGCAGGGGAAGGAACTAGTGTGTGCTGGCCAGGACTCTGATGACCCTTCAGAGGTTGAGGTGCACCTGATGCTATCCTAACCCCTGCATGACAATCCCAGCCGTGGCTCCTCCATCTTGCTGTGTCACAGATTCTAAAATCTTCCTTTTGTGTGTGTTTATGATGTGCATGTGTGTGAATACAGGCATGAATGTGCCAGGACACACGTGGAGGTCAGAGGACAACTTTGTGGAATTGGTTCTCTCTCCACCACTGTGGGATCCAGGGCTTAGCAAGCCCTTCTATGCTTTGAGACATCTCACTGACAACTCTTTTTTATTTTTTTAATGTATTGCCTGCATGTATGTAAGTGCATCCATGTCATGCAATGCCCATGGAGGTCAGAAGAGTACATCAGATTTCCCTGGAACTGGAATTATAGACAGTTGTTAGCTGCCATGTAGGTGCTGGGAATCAAACCCAGGTCCTTTGCAAGAGCAGCCAGTGCTCTTAACCACTGAGCCATCTCTCCAGCCCCTGACACCTCTTTTTTAAAACATAATTTTATTTATTATTTATTGAGTGTGTGTGTGTGTGTGTGTGTGTGTGTGTGTGTGTGTGTATGTGCCCATGTACATGTGAGCAGGCTGTTGCTTGCACCATGTGTGTGTGTGTGTGTGTAGGTCATAGGAATCTGTTCTTTCCTTCCACTGTGGGCTTGAGATATTGACTTGAGATTGTCAGGTTTACTCTGCAAGTGCTTTGCCCTCTAAGCCATCACTGACCCTCCACCTTTATTTTTTCTCTCACTAAACCCGAAGCTCATCGATTCAGTTACTCTGGCTGGTCAATGAACTCCAATGATCCACCTGTCTCCACCCACCTACCTCCCTACCCTCCTGCTAGGGTTACAGGTGCATTACCACCATCCCTGGATTTTTATGTGAGTTCTGGGATCTGAACTCAGGCCCTCATGCTTGCACAGCAGGCCCTTTACCAATAAGCCATCCCTCTAGCTATAAAACTCTTTGCTCAACCCTTCTACCCTGTCCATCTTTCTCTAGAAAGACTGGTCAATTGACAATTAGCAATTCAGATAGAGTCCTTCAATTCCTTCCTTCTTTTCTTTTAAAAATTTGTAATCTATCCAGGTGCATGCCTATATTCAATTCCCAGAGCTTCTGAGGGTAGAAGCAGGAAGATCAAGAGTTCAAGGCCAACCTGGGCTATATAGCAAATTCAAGTCCAGCCTGAGACCATCTCAAACAATACCAGAGCAAAACAATAAAAACCAAAAAATGTCCCCTTCCCCCAACCCCAGAGTATTACACAGCAGGTTTTAGAGCAGAGAATGCACAGCCGAAATGTCTTCTGCTCTTTAGCAGCACACCTCCCCAGGACCCACTGCCCATAGCTAGCCACCCTGACCCCATCTTTGTGAAGCGTTTATGGCAAGAATTAAAGCTAATCAGGAGGCCCCTACTGACCCCTCTGTTTCTTATTGGAAGCTTGGATGAGACTGGAGGATTTAGTTTGCTGCCAACAGGAATGACTAATCAAACATCAGCCTGTGACTATACTCATCGGCTCCCAGCAGGGAGTATTAGCATACACTGCATCCTCTACTGCCTTTCCTCAAGTTTAACATCTCCAGGACAGCCCTTTGCTCCTCACACTCCAGAACCCCTGGAGGCAGCTCCCCAGCTCCCCAGGGCTGACAACACTCACTCAGGAAGAAGTACTTGTGCTGGTGGTTATATGGCATGTACTTTTTCTTTTGTTTCCCAAGCTGTGAAGGAAAAACAAACACATGTCAGCAGCCAGAGACCAACAGCCCATTTCTCTCCCCACAAGCCTGGCTCTCCCTGCTCAGACCCTGAGGCCTACTGAGGGGACCCTCAGCTTGCTGGTACAACTGCAAGACTCTGGCAGGCCCAGCCTTGCTCATCCCCAGCACCTTGAGCCAGAGGCCCTGGACTGCAACCTGAAGGCACTGGGACAAGGCTCACAAAGCAGTGCGCTGCCTATTCTACAGGACTCCAGGCAGCCATCTCACATCTGTTGAGGGTTTCTAGGTCTCTTTCCTGGTATTCTTTGGATTCAGGGTCTCTAAGGGAAAAAAATTTTTTTGCCCCTGTTTAGGTAAGTATTCCATGTCCAGTCTGATCTTTTCCACCAAAATCTTTTGAACTCCTGACTTCATAAAAACCCCTGAAGTTTGGCAAATGTGTGTAGAAAGGTTACCAAGAACAATTTGGCAGTCTGAAGGTTCTGGCAAAACTTTGCCCACTGGGTGGTGGTTATTTCATAAGCCAAAGTCACTCAGGAGACAGTCTGAGAATACCAGGCTATGGTCAGCCCAGAGCCTGACTGCTGTGGGCTGCTGTGTCTCACTCCATGGCTCCTGCATTTCTCATCCCAATTTATTCTAGTGAGTTCAACCCAACAGCACAATCCAGCTCACCAACTCCCACATCCACCTACTATATCCACAGGTCATTTTTAAGTGTGTTCTGTACAAAGCATTGCAGCTAGATGCGGCGTTCTTTCTACATTCACAGTCATTCAACAATCACCAGAGGGCCCACTCTGCCAGTTACTGTTGGAGGTGCTGAGAATACAGAGGTGGACACGGTACAAAGTCCCTGCTGCATGAAGCTTAAAACCTGAGGAGTGGACAGGATGAAGCTGGTAGTAAGCTTGTAAATAGAGTTCCAGAGAATTTACAGATCACCCACAGGGGAGCAGGACAGACAGAAAGGCAGACTTGGCAAAGACGCTCAGACCTGGCCTCTTTTGGGCTCTGAATGCTGAAGAAACAGGCAGAACAAAAGCTCTTGAGATGTTCAATGACAGAAAGCTAGGGAGGGGCCAGCACAGTCAGGACTTCAGAAAGCCCTGGGAGAGAAAGTCAACAGTGTGGTGTGATCTGTTCCATAGTCCAAGCAGGCCTTAAACTTGCCTATGCATGGTCTGTTTTGTGTATGGTGGCTTTGTCTAAAGGCAGGGAAATGAACTTCAGGGGCAGAGGCAGTTACAGGGACAGATAAGGCAGCTAAAGCTAATCCAGACCAGATGCCCCAGGCAGGGTGCTGTGGTGTGATATGGTTTGTTCCCCAAAGGTTCATGTGTTGGCTGCTTGGTCCTCAAAGCTGGGATGTCAGGAGACAGCTGGACCTTAGAGCCTACTAAGGTCATTAAATCACCCTCAGAAGAGATGAATGTATTCCTATGAGATGCCAGTGAGTTCCCCTTGAGAGGGAGTTGTTTAAAAAGAGCAAGACTGACCTGGCTTCCTGTCTCTGTCTCACCATGACTACTTTTACGGGCACTGCTACCAACATCACAGCATCTGCCATGAGGCAGGCTCTTACCAGAGGCCAACTGATGAGGCTTCTCCATCTTTCAGTCTCCCAAACAGTGAATTAAACAGACCTCTTTTCTATATAAAGTACCTAAAGTTCAGGTATTTTGTTACAGCAACAGAAAGTGACTAATACACAGGAAAGAGGCTGGGATTTGATGTAGCTGGCATATGGTCTGGGGACAGCTAGGTAAACAAGAGGATATCTGGTGCAAGGGGTGGCAGCCTGGAGCAGGGGTGTAAACAGCACTCTCAGGAGGCACCTCAGATGACCTTCAAGGATGAGCAGAGGCTTGCATAGCAATCTCTGTCACCCACTGCATCTTCTGTAGCTTGGGGACTTTCATACAGTAACTATTTGCTAACTGAACTCCCTAGGAGGGATGGATGGCTCTGTCCTGGGAAGCCCTGGTTTGTAGCCCGTTGCCTTCCCCAACTTCCAAAAGGCAAGGGCCCTGTAATCTGCCTCTGATGTCTTAAACCTAAACCCTGGGCAAGTGTTTTTCCCAGACCCTGCTGTACTTTCTACTTCTCATGACTTCTACACTAACAATCGGCTCACCTCCACAGAAAGGACCTTCCCCAAGGCGAAGAAGAGGGGATGCATATTGATGTCTGGGTCTTTGCGGAAACAGTTGGGCTTGGCATGGTGCTGGAAGTGCAAGTGGTTCCACCAACTGGCAGGGGCTCCCTACAGAGAACAGAGGATGCCAGTGAAAACTCCTTGTCATAAACAACCCTACCCCTTGGTAACCCTTTAAGGATTGGGGTTTCAGAGAACCCATCATCTCACTGACCTTCAGATGGCCAATCACGAAATGATGTAGCAGGTGGTTCCATGTAGAGGTGCTGAAGACTGACAGGTGTCCAAAGTCATGCTGTAGCCAACCTGCCTGGGCCTAAGGGAGAAAGGTTAGTGCCCGGAGTAGCCCACACCCAGGGTCTCTCTCACAGACCTCAGCGGCCCCTTCAGTCTCTCCTTCCTGGATGGCCAAACTTGGGAAGAGCCAGGGAGCCTGGATTCTAACTCTCCCCTGGCCATTAGCTCACATGTGAGTTGAAACAGATTTTAGTCCCTTGTTTGTTCTGAAGTGCTGTGACTTAGGATGGACTGACAGCCAGATACAAATTGTCAGTTCAAGTTCTAGGGCCAAACCACAACTGGCAATGTCAGTAGTGGGAAATGAGCCAGACACTGCTGGTTGGCATACTTGGGCTGTAGCAGAAGCCTGAACATGCAGTTTTAGGGAACAAACTGAAACCAGGAAGAAGGGAACCCAGAGAGTAGAAGCTGGAGAAGCTGTGAGAGAAATCAAGACAAGCACGTGGCTAATGAACAGATAAAAGTTGCACATAACAAAATGGGCATTCTCTTCCTGCCCCAACACTCTTTTGAATCTTCAGATCCGAGGCAGGATTCTTGGCCTTGATGCGTTCCCTGGGGATGCCAAGAATGGCCAGAGAATGACAGTCAAAGGCACTCACTCACCTGAACTGTACTGAGCAGCACTGCACAGAGGACAAAGGGCGCCAATGATGTCCCAAAGACCCAAAGTGTGAGCCAGGCGGCGACATCCAGAAGCAGGATGTGTAGTAGGTAGAGCAGGAAGAAGAGGCGGTTGGCCTTCATGAGCCCCATCCGCTCCACTGTGGTCCTCAGCTCCCGGAATTCATCAGTCAGCTCTTTCTGTGGGAGAGTGGTGCTGTTAATTCTTCCCAGTGGCATCCTAACCCTCATGGCTCAAGAATTTCCCATGGAGATAGGTGTGGGTCTATACCCAGTCTTAGGCAAAGATACCCAAGAAGGATGACAGGAGGAGCTGCTTTGGTTGGGATCACGCCCAGCAACTACTTGGACTTCATTTGGATCCCTGCTCTGCCCCTTACTATGTGATCTTCGGCCCTGTGACTTAAAACTCTCTGAGCCCCTATTTCCTCACATGTAAATGTGTTTTGAGGATTATTCTGCAAGTTTATGGCTGGCACATGGTGCTCAACAAACAGGTCTGGTGTTGCTAATGGTAGTGTTGGTGGTGATAGCATTGAGAAGCACAGGTTCCTGCTCCAGTGGGCTTATGACCCCATGACTATATAGGAGAGGCAGCTGCCTCAGGAATCCCAAGAACTGTTACATGTGATCCTATGCAGACATCTGCCATCTCACTCCACAACCAAGTCTCCAAACAGCAAATAGGTGCTCTTACATTCTTGGTGGGTTCAAAGCTGGGCTGCTCCGGAGCCAACTCTCCAATCAGGAGAGAGTTCATATACTTCTTCACAAGGCCCTTGTTGATGTGGAATGCCATAAATGGATCCTGCAAGTGTGGGGAGAAGACAATGAGGGAGTCGGCCTCAGTGCCCTGGGCTCCTAAGGTGCTTACACCAAAGGTCATCGTGCCAGTAACAAGGTTTACATCCATGCTGAAACAGAGATAACTTCCTCTGGCCACTGCACTTCCAGGCCGGTCTTGTCTGCCCAGTCCCAGATCGCTCAGCATTTGGGTTCCCATTGGAAGAGCTTATATCAAAGAATGGCAAGCTTCCTCTGGATGTCACCCAGAAAGACTTGCCCAGGCTGGCCTCCATGCCTCCAGAGAGCAAGGCCTAGCAGCTTAGGTGAGAAGCAGCCAGCAGGGATAGGTGGGGCTTGGAGGCGTTTTGTTCCTATGGAACTTTCAACAAGTCCTTTTCTTTCTCCACCAGCTTATCTATAAACTGTGATGAGGTAGACTCCCTATGTCAGAGCTGGGTAGCATTCACATTTTTTTCCCCTTCCCGTCAAGATTCCCTATTTCCCCCCAAATACTCTGACCATTCCCTGCTCCCTGAGTGGTTACTCTGGGTTATACAAAGTGAGTGGGAGGGCCTTAGGCCCCAGAGAGAGAAGCTGTGAATGGAGGCGGAGCTGGTGGGTAGTGGCACCACACATCCAGACCAATCGCTGTCTTTGTTGGGAAGTCCCGGGCCCCCAAATCACACTGTGAATGAAGCCTAGGCAGTGGGGGTTTGTGCCATCTGTCCAAGATCCTGCCTAGGATTGCACAGCAGTCTGGAATGCTCACTTTGGGTGACTGGTACTGGCCTGATCCTTGAGGCTGGCTGTGTCAGAGGGGAGGGAAGGGTCCTTCACCCTGCAGCATCTAATCACCCTGGTGACCGGAGGGGCACTCTAGGTTGGCAGAGAAGGAATAAGGGATGGGGAAGATGGGGTCAGGGCACTAGATGGATGGACAGATGGGCCCAAAGACAGAGTGCAATCCCAGACACAGAGCAGGGAGCGTGGTGAAATGAACTCCCCAACTTTAGAGTGGCAAGTAATTTCGGCACTTAGGGCATATAGTCCATAAAGAGAAAAAACGGGACTGAAGTTGGGGCACGCACCGACCCTGCCTTCAGTGCAGCCCCAAAAAGAAGGGCCCCATTCCATCACCACGGGAGTCCTCTTCCCCAAGAGTTGGAGATCTGCCTGGCCTACCCCTAAGTGACCTCGCAAAAAGGCTAAGGCATGCGGATGCCGCTCTGAAAACAGCTCCCGTTATCCCCTGCGGCCAACGCCCCCGACAGGTTTTCTGGGCCTGGTGCAGGTTCTTGCCCTGCCCTTGGGCCTGCATACCCTCAGGAAGTGCCAAGACAGCGGGCTCCCCGAGTCAGCCGTGTCCTCCAGAGGTCCTCTCGGGCTCCCTCCCAACTCCTGATCTCGAGTGGGGACCGGTTCTCGAGGTCAGACAAGGCTGCGCTTCACCCTCCCGGTCTGGAGCACAGGACATGACCTGCCTCTCGATGCACTGACTCCTCCTCTCGCGGCGCCGGCCAGCACCACCATCCCTGCGCCCTACATGCTCACTTCCCTCCTAGCCGGGCTCGGGATCCAGGCCTCTTGTGGGACTCCAGATGCAATGCACCGATGCGCAGATTGCTCTTTGTCTGGGTGTGCACGTCGCCGGCCTCGTCCAGGGCTCGACTCCGTGGTAGGAGGACACCCTGCAGGCTCTTCTCGCTGTCTCCCGCGCACCCAGCCTGCTACCCGCTCCCCTCCCGGTCCCAGCTCGCCGGGCGCTCACCGTCGCATCCTGCCCGGCGTAGTGGCTGATGACCCGGGAACCCCCCGGGTGGCGGCGGCTGAAGTCGCTGATGTTGTACACCTTCCGGTCGATCACAAGCCACTTCTCCTCGCGTCCGGAGCGCTGCTCCACCTCTTCCCAAGTGAAGTAGCGCGGCTCGCGAAGCTGGGCCGCGGGTGGGGCAGGCACCGTCTCGGGGGCCATGGCGAGGCCTGGTGAGGCCTGGCGACGCAGGGCGTAGGGAGCGGCGAGTCGGGCAACAGCGAGCGCGCACCCGGAGCCCGCCGTCCGCGCGCAGGGTTTTCAGCACCCGAGGCGCGGACCGCCGAACCCCTCGGCGCGGGCTCCTATTGGCTGAGCCGCGTGGCGTGGGGCGTTAGCTCCGCCCCTTTTCGGCCCGGGAGCCCCCGGAGGGCCGGTTAGGGAGACACGCGCCTGCTCGCGGGTGCCTGGAAGTGGTCTCCCTAGCGTCTCCTTCCTGACTCTTGTTTGTCTGAGCATCCAGAGCATGGATAGACAGGCGGGGGTGGACAGAATAACGGTCCCTACGGAGCCGGAGGGTGCGCCCCAGGTCGCTGAAGCTGAGGCCCGGGCTCCAAGTGAGAGTGGGCGTGGCTTGATGTGGACCTATTGAATAGGAAATATTTATTTAGTTATTTAGTTTTGAGGAGCGTCTGAAGTAGCCTGGCTGAAGTAGTCTGGCTTCAAACTCAGTACAGCTGAGGATGACCCCGAACTTCTGATCATCCTGCTTCAACCTGAGTTTCTGGATGTACAGGCATGAGCACATACTGGGTTTTATTCAGGACTGGGCCTTATGCATGCCTGAGGCAAACACTCTCAACTGAGTTATACTATAGCTCCAGCCCCTTGGAAACACTTTTGACAAATTGTTTAAACTTAGTTTATGGGGCTAGAGAGATGGCTCAGCGATTAGGAGCACTGGCTGTTCTTGCACCCGGTTCGGTTCCCAGCACTCACACAATGCCTAACAACTGCCTGTAACTCCAATTCCAGGGGATCCAACTCCCTCTTCTGACTTCCGTGGGCATTGCATGATATAGGGTGCACTTACATACATGCAGGCAATACAGTCATATGCATAAAAATATAATTAATAAAAATATTGTTTTAAAACAGCAGTTTATTTGAACTAAGAAGCATCATCCTAACCCAGGAAAAGTTCAGAAACCCCTAACTAGCAAGGTGAGAGGGCAGTATTTGTAGACTAAAAAAGATATTTGCATAAAGAAGTAGACTGGGTACTTGCCTCCCGTGGCTGCACCTGAGCAGTTTGCAGCCAAAGCTAGCAGATCGTTTGAGTGCTGTGATGATCATGCAACCCAACCCTTCTGCTCTACAAGAATGTACTTAGGGTCCCCGGGATGGTTCAGTTGGTAAAGGTGCTAGCTGCCAAGCCTGATGACAGATGCGATCCTAGAGACCCACATGGTTGGAGGAGATTACCAGCTTCCATAAGTTGTTCTATGACATCCATGTTTGAGTCCCCTCCACCCCCTCCATCCCTCTGCCCCCCTCTCCCCTCCTCCTCTTCCTCTGTGTGTGTGCGTGTGTGTGTGTGTGTTTGTGTAGGCCACTTCCTCTGAGACAGGGTCTCTCATTGGCCTGGAGCTCACTATTTAGGCTAGAGTATCTGGCTAGCGATCTTTGGGGATCCTCCTTTCTGTCTCCCCAGTGCTGGACATGCTATGTCCAGCTTTTTATCTGGGTTCTAGAGAGCAAAGTCAGGTCCTCATGCTTCGAGGCAAGAGGCAGCCACTTTGCCAACTGGGAGTCTCCCCAGCTCCAAGGAATCCTTTTGAATTGAGAGCTAGGAGTCCAAGACTTGAGGCCCTAAAATCTTTCCCTCCCTCCTTCTCTCCCTCCCTCCCTTTCTTCCTTTTTTATTTTTTTTAATTTTTAAGACACAGTCTTGGTATGAAGCCCTGGCTAGCCAGGGACTTGCTATGTAGATCAGGCTAGCCTCAAACTTACAGAGATATGCCTGCCTTTGCCTCCTGAGTGCTGGAATTAAAGGCACTCACTACCACATCCATTGAGACCCTGAACTTTTGCTGCAGAGAATGTGATTCCTTCCAGTGGAGTTCAAAGTCAGTTTTTTGTTTTTTTTTTTAATACTGTTTTCAAAAAGACTTGGTCTCCAGGTTCTAGATTGTGAAAGGTCTGGTTGCCATCAGTTGGTGGGTTTCAGAGTGCTATTTTTACCGGGTTAAAACTACACTGTGGCATTGTTCACTGAAGTCATGCAGTATTGACCCATGTCATAATTTATGACAATTCTGTAGGGTGGAGGCTTTTCAGTCACTGTTTCATAAGGGGTCAATTGATGTTTTCTAGTGGGAGTAGATCTGATTGCCATTGGTAACATTAACCAACGTAAATCTAGTCGCCTCAGCTTTGCCTAGTGTCTTGGGTTTGTGATTCCATAACCATTTTGCAACCTGCCCAGTGAAAGTGAGTCTTGCTCCAATTCACTGTTGATTCCTCCAGGAATGCTCCCAAATGGAAGTAACCTTTGAAAACAAAAGAGAAGTAAGGGCTGGTAAAGTGGCTCAGTGGGTAAAGGTGCTTGCTGTCAAGCTGAATGACCTGAGTTCCATCCCTGGACCCACATGGTGAAGGAGAAAATCGACTCTTGCAAGTTGTCCTGTGACCTCCACTTGTACCTCATGGCATGTGTGTACCCCCCACCACAACACACACACACACACACAAATAAATGTAATTTTTAAAATTAAATAAAAAAGTCAGTCTAGCTTTCTTTGTAAACTTGCATAGACAGTTTTTCATTCCTATTTCTAGAAATTTTAGTTACATGTTCTATTTTGTTGCTATTTTTGAGACAGGGTCTCTGTAGGTAGCCCTGGCTGGCTTGGAACTCACTATATTGAGCAGGCTAGCCTCAAAGTTTTAGCAATCCTCCTGCCTCAGCCTCCCCAGTGCTGGGACTATAAGCATGCACCTCTGTGCTTTCCACTAGTTTATTAATTGGAATTATCACCCCTTGGTGGACTGTATATCATACCAGCAATCTGTAGATTGGCGAGTCCAGCGATCCCTCTTTCCAGAAGCATGTACTTCTTCTTAGGACAGTTTTTCAGTGTGGCATAGAACATGTTTTCTAACAGTTCCAAATATCTTTAGTCTTCCTGTAGCAAAGAGCTGTAGAAGAGGCAAAATTTCACCTCTGTCTTCTTAGAGGTCTTTGTCTTGTTCTTGCTTTTATTTTGCTAAGTCTGAGAATTCGATTGTATGTTCAGATATCTCTCAGCCTCAGCTTTCCATTCTTGGGTTTTATTTATTTATTTATTCATTTTATTTTTCATTTGAGTCAGGATCTCACTAGGTAGCCCTGGCTGACCTCAAACTCATAGAGCTCCACCTGACTCTGCCTCCACAGGTGCTGGGATTAAAAGTGTGTGCCACCACACCTGGCCTTCAGCTTTCCATTCTTGGTAAGTGTCAAAACCTTTTGGCCTAAGAAATATTACTACATGGGAATTTTATCTATATCTTATTATTTTAAAAATCATTTAAATTACATTTATTTGTTTAGTGTTTGTACGTGCACAAGAGCCCTAACCCATGTGTGGAGGTCAGAATATAACTTGCAGGAGTCAGTTCTCTCTTTCCACCATGTGGGGCCCAGTGATCAAACTCAGTTTGTCAGACTTTTCAGTTAGTACCTTAACCCATTAAGCCATCTTGCTTGCCCCTTATCACTTAAAAAAATGTTATGTGTCTGAGTGTTTTGCCTGAATGTATGCCAGAAGAGGGTTATGAGTCCCTTGGAAATGGAGTTACAGATGGTTATTAGCTGCCATGTGGGTGCTGGGAACCAAACCTGGGTCCTCTGCAAGAGCATCCAAATTCTTAACTGTGGAGCCATCTCTACAGCACCCCCCACCCTTTTCACTTATTTTGAGCTGTCATCCTTAGATTGCTATATTACTTACTTTTTTTTTAATCACTTAAGAAAGGAAGGATTTAGCTGGGCCTGGTGACCCCTGCCTTTAATTCCAGCACTCAGGAGGCAGAGGCAGGTGGATCTCTATGAGTTTGAGGCCAGCCTGGTCTCCGTATAGAGTTCCAGGCCAGGGCTACATAGTGAGACCCTGTCTCAGAAGGAGAGAGACAGGGAGGGAGAGGGAGGATTTATGATGGTTCATGGTTTGAGGGGTTCTCTCTGTCAACACCTTCACAAACAGTCCCAGAGGTGTGTCTCCTAGCCTAGGTGATGGTAATACAGTCAGGTAGATGAAGAATAACCATCTTAATTGCTTATAAAGATGAGACATTAAGGGGCTGGAGAGATGGCCCAGTGGTTAAGAGCACTGACTCCTCTTACAGAGGACCCAGGTTCGATTCCCAGGACCCACATGGCAGCTACGAACCATCCTTAACTCCAGTTCAAGGGGAATCGGAAACCCTCTTCTGACCTTTGCGGCATTGCATGACACGGGTGCACTCACATACATTAAAAAGCTAGCCACCACCTCATTTTTCTTGCTGACAAATTTTGTAACATAAGGTAATTTTACTCTAAGCCTATATAAGAAAAGTTGTGTGTCTGTATTATATTTCATTATGAAAGTTCTGAAGATATGTCTATTTTAACTGAATCACCAAAATTACTGAGTCATATGCACTTGAAAGGCATTTGGAATAGTTCTGTTCTGGAGAGAATATGTCATCTAGACAAGCTTGTATTTTCCTTAAATCTGATTAAATTGAGCTGTTTTATAGTTTAGCTTGCTAATGTCCAAAAATAATAGAAAAATATCAAACATATATATGGAGAGAGAGAGAGGGGAAGAAGATAAGTAAAGGCAGATCCTACATATTTAATTCTAAAATTTTATTTTTATGTTCAAAGCTATTTACTTATTTATTTAGTTATGTGTCTCTGTGTGTAAATGTATGTGTACGTGTGTGTGTGTGTGTGTGTGTGTGTGTGTGTGTGTACCCCTGCAAGCCAGAAGAGGGCATGCTGGGAACCCAACTTTAGTCTCATACAAAAACAACAACCACTGAGCCACTTCTCCATCCCCTAATTCTAAAAGTTTAACCATATGTTAGGCATCATAGAAGCTCACTGGATCCAAATTGGTTTTTCTTGTGGCAGGGTTTCCTGTCCAGATGGGCTAAAGCTTAAAAGCTTATTTACAAAAAAGGCTTTGAAGATGACTCCGTTGGCTTTTTGTAATGAACCTTTTACAGAGGCAATCTCTGACTTACTTGGCCATTTAGATGGTTCTGTGTACCAATTAAAGAATAGAGCCCATTGATTTTGTGGCTT